TATTCTATGCCAAACACTAATTACTCTTACTCAATCTTTGGATATTTTCTAATTCATACTTTATCCTTTTGACTTTGACTTTTAATCCTTGACCTCATCCTATATCCAGAGGATGCTCCTTTTAACTATTAAGAATCAATTCTTTGACTATTAACAACATATTTAAGGGAATATCTTTTACAAGGTAATTTATTCTATTTTCACTTTTATTTACTTACTTTAACACACCTATAGTAATTTCAGAGTTCTTTAGTTGATCAAAGTTTGAGATTTAAAAGGAGACTTTAGGAAGATTTTTTTAGCATTGATTTCAAGTATTTTGGATGTATATTGAGTTTTAAAGAACTTTTTGAAGTGGAAGATGCATTTAGAGATTTTCAATTAAGAGAAGTAATAAGATACTTATATATTTAAAGAGCTTGTGAGTATTATAGCAAATTTTTAAATTTTTCATTGTACTTGCCTTAAATGTGGTATGCAAATTTGAAGTGAATTAAACATTTAGATTAAAAGATGTGAAAGTTTTATTAGATTAGGATCTTATATATTTGAATTTTTGGATCAATGAGGTTTCTTATGATCTTACAAAATCAGTCAATTTGATTGAAGCAAAACTTTGAAAGAGCATTTTTTGCTTGGTTATCTACACTTTTGCTAATTAAGAGAGAAATTGAATGGTTCAAGAAGGAATAATTACTGCATGAAGATCAACATTTAGGTTGAAGAAGGAGAAGGACACATGTCCAAGAGTATTAAGAGTACCTTCTTTTAATTAGTAAGTTGGATTTTTTTCAAACTTTATATGTTTGATTTTTCCTTAAAGATTTTTAAAAAAAAACAAAAAAAACAAAAAAAAATTGATATTAATGATTTAATTAATTTTTATTAAAATTTCAAAAAAATTATAAAAATTTAGTTAGGATTTACTTCCAATTTGTTTAAGATTTTTGTAGGATTTCATTAGGATTCATTGATTTTTGGTTAGGATTTAGTAAGAATTTTATTAGAATTTTTTTAGAGCTATATCAAGCTTTGATTAGGTTTTACTGAGGATTTACTTAGGATTTTTATTTTTAGTATTTTTAAAGGATTTCTTTTTTATTTTTTTAGAAATTCTATAATATATATTTAGGATTATTATTTTTTTATATTTCTTTAAGGTTAATTGATGATTTTTTATGATTTTTTTTGTAATTTCTTTAAGATTTCTTTTGAATTTCATTAAGGTTTTTAAGGTTTAGTTGGAGTTTATTTAGGATTCTATTAAAGTAATTAGAATCTTGTTGTTACAATTTCTAATCTACTAAGTGTCATGTATATTCTCAAAGAAGACTTTACATAATACAATACCAAATGTTATTATATTTAATTAAGATACCATTAATTTAAAAACTAATTTAAGAATTGATTATTAAAAACATAAAAAAAATATGATTAGATTTTATAAATCACAAATTAAAAATTTATATTATAAATACCAATTATTTTTGTCACATGGTTTCTAAATCCAGAAGTTTAAAAATCTTTCATAAAACTAAATCTAATGACTATTTATTGCAATAGTTATTAAAACATATATTACAAACATCTTCCATTAATTATGCCAATTTTTTTACAAAATAAAAATAATTCTAAATAGGCATTTCAAACTTGTTTCTAAATTAAAATAAATTTATAAACATATACATACATATGTAAATTTATATATATTTATGTTTATATTACTAATTTTTATTTTTTATTTAAGTTTAAAATATATATTATAATTGAAGTTTTTAATTAAAAACTAAATCTCTCAAAAATTATTATACTAATTTTTTAAAAATGAACTATATCTTTAAAATATTTTAATTATTTTTAAAATTAATTTTATCTAAAATAATTAAAATAAGTAGCTTAATCTAAAAAATATTAATATCTTATTATGTGTTATAATAATAATTTTTATGTGGTATTTTTATAAATATATATATATATTATTAGAATTTTTATACTATAATTAAAAAATGATTTATTAAATTACTTCAAAAATATTAAAAGAAAAGACAACTTTTTTTTTGCTTTATACAATAATATATTTATATTTTAAAAGACTTAAAGAAGATTACTTTTCATTGTTGTTTTATTGTCAAAGATTTTAAATTGATCAAAAATATGTGAAGAAGTTTTAATGATCTACTCGCTATGATGACAAGGTCCATAGTAGAGTTTAAAGATTTCTATAAGATTTCTTATACTATCATTGTTTAAATTAAAAGCACATCCAATCAAACTATAGGAAATCTTAACATGTCTTTAAAAAAATTAGTAACCCATTAAGTGTCAAGGACATGAATCACATACAATAAAATCCTCAATACACACTTGAATCACTTGAAAAGAGTAGATATTCATTCAAAGATAGTAATATATTAGAACTAGAATGGCTTTGCTAAAGACAAGAAGACTAAAGACTCTTGAAACAAGATTAAAAACAAAAAAAATATTGACAAGAGTGAAGAAGGTTTCATTCTTGCATCCATATATATTAACTAAGAGCTATATGGCAACATTCTATAAGATCTCGAACATGTATCTAACTTGCAAGGCAATATTTCTTCCATATATGCCACATGGCCCACTTATACCACAAGTCGCCAACATGTACAACATGTATCCAACTTGTTGGCTAAGTTTCAAACCTACCAATGAATTAGAAACACTTCTAAAATCAATTTTCTGTCTATAAAGCTTCTACAAAGCTTGTCCACAAGATATTATGAAATCTACTTTTATTTACTTTCTACCTTATACTTCTCTTAGTAATTATATATATTTGTGACACTAAGCCCTTTTCAATTCAAATTTATTTTATTTTAAATTTTAGGTTAGTTCAAATAATTACCCTTTGATTTATAAAGTGTAATTAAAAATAAAAATTATAAAGTAAATAGTAATTTTAAAATAATTAAAAAAATGCATTGTATTTGAAAATATCATTAAAAGACTTGTAATTATATACTTAAAATATTAATCCATAAATACGTATATATATATATATATATATATATATATATTGAAAAAATTAAAATTATTTGGAATGTGATCTTTTTAATTTATTAAAGTTTAATATATATATATATATATATATATTATTTATTTAATAGCAATAAATTATAAAAATAAACAATAATATTTTTATTACAAAAAAGCATATTTTTATAAATTTTAATATTATTTTCTTGTCATTATATTATTTTCATCTCACAAAGTAAATAATTTGAAGAAATACATTTTTAAAATGAAAAGGATGTTGATATGAGACTATAAAAGAAATTATATAAATTAATCTTAATAAATATATATAAAAAATTTGAGTGTTTGTAAAATAAAAATATTTATTTTCATTTCTTCTATCTTTTAAGTGTACTTTTAATATTATAACCAATTTAATTATTAACAAGTTATCCTGATTTTATTCTGCATATTGTAACATAGAAAGAAAAAAAAAAGTGACATTATTTCTGAAATTTATTTTTTTAAAATAATATTAGTCACTAATTTCAAATTATTAAATAAAAGAATGAAAAATATTATCTTAGAATTATATATAAATCAACAACAAATAAAGCTTTTCAGTTGTTAAAAAAGATAGGAAAGTTTAAATACAACCAATCTTTAGTGGCATTGTAAAAGCAACAATGATGTTGCATAAATTTCACCCTTAAAAAATTTGATAAATGCACCCTGAAAAAATTTGTTTCATAAAACCATCCTTATCAAAATCAATATGTCATTCATTTTAAATTGTATTTTATTTTTCTTATAAATAGACTGTGATATCTGGTTATTATTTTGAGCTTAACTGTAAATTCTTTTTTAAAGTTTTGTACATAACAATCGAGAAGAAAATACTAATTTTTTAAATTTAATATGATAATTAAATTTACTATTTTGTTTAAGTATTTTTAAACACTAATTTATGAAAATTTAATATTTTTATATTACTTGGTTATTTATAAATTTTACTATTATTAATCTACTAAAATTTATATTGATGTTTCGATATGTCTGTATATTTTTATTTTCAGAGTTTGAATTGTAGTTTTGTGTTGCATTTTGTACCACATTAAAATTTAAAGAATTTAAGATAAATTGTAAAATAAACGTGTGAAGCATTGATCCACATATGTATTTGAGGATAGTCATAAAGTTGAATTATTTCTACTATACAATGAATTGTCATAAGTACATATAATACAATTGTATTGTATGTATCTATTGCTATGCTATTGTTGTGATTATTATTATTATGCATTTTTTTAAAAATAAGAATCTAAAAAAATTAAATATTATTAAGGTAATTGCATTTTAATACAAAAATCTACATACATATGTTCTTAATTTATGTACCATTTTTTGACATAATTTTGAAAACTTAATTAGTTATTTAATACTCACATTAGTTAGTATAATGCACTTATTGTCGGTAAAACTTCCAATTACTGATGAAACAATAAGTGAAACAAACGTCATTGCTGTGAAACAATAAGTGCATGAGTCTTCACAAACGTCATTGCCAAAACTCGGATTCAAAGTTATGGGTGCTTACAGATTGTATCATCATTCAAGTCATAATACTTTAAATTTTATTGCAACATCCAAAACTTAGGAATTACATAATCGCATTACTGTTTGGATTTACTTTAAAGAAGCAAACCACCACAGATTTTTTTTTTCATCCTAATACGTATTACACATGTACTTTTTCATTGTTATCGATCAGTACCTGTATTTCAAATATATTTAAAAATAAATAAGATCCAATTCAATTTAACTAAAACTGGTTGAGTGAGCGATTCCTGTGCGTTCAACATAATTAAGATCAATCAAATTTCTGACTAGTTTGACAAAAAAAAGTGACCAAAAAAACGAACAAACTAACTGTTGCATGTTGTTACTGCTTGAAGAACTCTCCTTCGACGTGCAACACATCGATCCACGACCGACGAATCAGCAACTACTTCGATGCATTTTGCATTAATCGCACATTTTGAACTTGACAGAATGCGTACAACAGTCTAGATCTGGCTCAAATTGGAGTGACTACAGACACAGATCCAAGCCTGAACCAGCAACGATCTACAAAACTGGGTGTCGCCGAACATGCACCGATGACGCCGCAGTGTCCTTCGAACACCGAACTGAAACTTCCCAATCTAATTCTTCCTTCATGCGAAGAGAGAGATCTACTCGTGTCTGCTTCTGATGGCTTGAAAGTCGACCCTGCATGACCTGGCGCCGAACTGTGAGATGCTGAGTAGATGGGGAGTGATTACACGCTTCGATGCGGCGAAGGACTGCTTGTTTAGAGCATCGCACGAGGGTAGATTTTTCTCAACGGACTGGATTGAATAGGCCTCTCACCCATGGCAACGCGGTTGGAGTTGAGTTAGTTATCGGAGATCTAGAAACTGTCGCCACGGACGCGAAATGGTCTAGGACTCTGTGACAAGCTGCGGCACATTGAAAAGGCCTTTGGATGATGCATGCAAACCCATCTGGGTGGGAGAAGCGGTGGCTCTCTTGACGTGAAAACATGTACATATATCGAACCTCGCTTTTACAAATCTGAGAGGGAGGGGCGAGCTCACTGTTCACCATGAGGCGAGTTCTGGTGCCACCTGACGATGGCGAGTTCGTCACATCTAGGCGCGTTCTATAGAAGAGATCTGAATAGATAACCAATGATACCCCTCAGACTTGACACCGCAAAAACTGCGTGCTCTCGAATTCGTAGCCACCGATTCTGTCTTTGTGCTACTTCCTTCCAAATCGTCCTGAGCTGCAAATGTCAAGGTTCTCGTCCAAAATACTCGGCAAGTGTTTCTACTCGTTTCATAGTTCTCTGAGTACAGCCCCTGCAATCAAATGCAAATGATCCTTATTTCAAATTTGGGTCAAGAAGGATGAGTAGGGGGTTGACATGTTTGTGATCATCTTCATGCTCCGAAAGCTCAGAGAATTGAAGCAGAAATATCAAGGGTGAATAGCATTGAGTTCATGAATGTGTGAGTAGTGTACTGACTTGTAACCGTCATGGAGATGCGATTTGTCCTCCAGCGTTACTGCCACTAACTCCACCTCCGGTTCCGCTTCCACTCCTATTTCTCCCCTCCCCTCCAGGTCTAAAATTAGAAGCGGATGCTCGAAGCGGTCCTAGCGCTCCAGAAAGGCCAAGTGCTTGAAGGGTTTCATAAGATCCTCCTCCAACCCTTGCAAGTTCCATGAGATGCTCTCTAGATAGATGTGAAGGGTCTGCTCTTGCAAGGTCCATCAACTGCTCCCTCGTCAGCATCTGCTCCCGGCTCGCATGTCCTTGAGAAAGACTTGTTCGTAATCCTAAAGACGATGACACTCCCTGGTCCACGGAAGGGACAACCATTCCTGCCGCTGCATACCTCGCCAAGTCTGAATGCGCGGATGCTAGATCATTCTGCAGTTGCGCCACTTGCCTCTGCAAGACTGATATAGCGCCCACGCACCCGTAGACAGGATCTTTCACACGCGCATCTGCTTCGTAAGCAAGAGAATTCACCGCATCCTCCCTTTGGTGCGTGGGGAGTTCGTTCAGGAGCTTAGTGACATTGCTAGCTCCAAATATCTTGTGAACATTGGCAAACTTGTGGGGCTGGTCGGGAGGAAAATAGGGCGCAAACACACATTCCGATGTGCATTTTCTCCTCAGGAACTTGCAAGCAGCGCACGGAGAACTCGAGGACGACGCCATTCCTGCCTACGTTTTACAAACTTAGCAAAGAACGAGCCCTCTCTCCCTTCTGTCGGTCACTACCTCAGGGATACCAAGTTCTTTATCTTACACTGGACGCCGAGACAATATTCTAAACCTTACAAAAGCTTTGCCATGACTCGAAACCTCCAGCTACCGCCACTCTCACCAGACCTGTCAGGTCGAGCCCTATCCCTATCCGCCAAAATCTCCCATAGGTAGCTAAGTTCATAACGTGAAACCAACTGCTTCAAGTCATACTCCCGAATTAGCAGGAAAACCTCACTATCCTCGAATACGAAAATAAAATTCGGGTCGAAACATCAGAAAGTCGCTACACATCCCAGACTGCTTCCTTCCCAAACTCTAAAATGCAACGCTGAGTTCCGGCTGAAACAGCTCAAGCACACTCCACACACAGTAAGGGTATTCAAGAGTGGTCCACAAGAATTATGAGCGCGCAATACGCAAAATCCAAAACTAGCTGGAACAACAATTTATCGACGGCAAGAATAATCCTCTGAAGCACAGACCTCTCCCTTCGTAGTTGTTCGAAAGGTTATCAGGAGACCCATCAATTTACTCTTAAGCGGCGGCGTTCCAACACCACCCCACTTCCAACGGTGGCTACCCCGTCCCGAAGCATCAGCGTCGAAACCCGGAAAGTCTCTTTTCTGGCGGGACAACGGATTCAAAGTCCCCTTCGACAGGCTTCCAAACCCAATCCCGACCTGGCGGCAACTCGGTGCTCAACCAAGGGCGCCATACTCGGGGCAAGTTCGTGCTTCCGCCAGATCTACCGCTGAAAGAGAACCAATCGCCTTCCCACATGGCCTCGACCTACATAACATGACCTGGATGGTCCCCCTGACGCCTGAACAACCGCACGAATGTCCCCACTTTGTCTGCGAAGCTCTGGAGTCGCGTTGCACATCTGGACTTCGTCCTCCGCCACGCGGACCACCCTCACTCGCTCCCTGTCTGTCTGCAGACGACTTTCAGCACCCACCCGCGGTAAAGGTAAACGTAGAAATTCCATCGAGGTCTTGGCTTGGCTTGGACCCCGAGATGTACATTCCACTCAGATCTCCGAGTGAGCTCAGATGGGGTGACCATTCTCACTTTTGTCTTCATTTGATTCATACGAAAAAGAGGGTGACGAAGGATGACGGTGCGATGGATGACGACGAAAGTCGAATCGAATCATCGAGATTCGTTGCAGTTGCGCTCGGAGAATGCTCTCAGCTTGGCGCGCTTTCAGGCACTTGGGGCAGTAAAATTGTGCGGCCACCGGAAGTCCTCCAAAACATGACATCGGCGACGACTGATCTGAGATTCTTCTCGGCACGACGGGGGTCTCTTAACGTGGTGCGTACAGTTCCTCTTGAGCAAATGATGAAGGTTCGTGGTCTCACGCCACAACACATCGCTCTATCCAGCAGTCAAGGGAAAATGACACAGCTCATTGCTGGTTTGAATGTTCCAGCTTTGTGTATTATGTCATATATATATATATATATATATATATATGTATGTATGTAATTTCTTTGTAAGTTTAGCCAAACGTGGCCCTAGTTTTGTCTAAATGTTATCAGAAACAGGAATATCTTCGGCAGCAGAAAATAATAACGCATGCGTCTCTCAGTACATTAATTTATCAACCCATAAATTATTGTCAAGTTTTTTTTTTGTAAATCTAGACTAAACAAAACCCTCGGCCCCAATCTCCACATGCATAACAACTCAAAGATGCAAAGTGTTTATCAGCAACACACAAAACGGCACTGCATTCCAAACAATATCCACATATTGAGGCGATACTTTTGCATTGTGACCCGACGTGCATGAGATCAAAAGTTCGAGGTGGAGCCCGAAGTCTACATCAAATCAAATCTTATTTCAAGGATTCATATTCCCAAACATTTTTAATCTTTCAAAGTTTGTAATGCGGAATATTGTAGTTGCATGTATGATATACAGTTCATTGCATTCATCGGCAGAGAATCTCCTAAAACCCTCTTTCCTTTCTATATTACCTGGTTTCAAGTAGTTCAGGTGTTTCACTACACTACAGACACGTCAACTTTGGAAATGCCAAATTGTGTTAGTAGAACGATGCGGTGTGAAAACTTCGGCGATGGGCGGCGCAATGAGCATAAATCCTGAAATTCCTATTCGACAGGGAGAGATCTCGGCTATATGCACTCTTGCCAGATGTATGGTACACCAATTAAGAACTTGGGCTCCGCGCATCAACAGTGGTACTACTCGATGCTAGGAATCTATAATTTGCTTTTGGGTTTCCAGATTGAAAACCTGGCCCGCCGTGCATCTCAATGCACAAGCGGAGCCAACACTCAGTCAACAACAAGCGAGCTCCGCAAACAACATAACGTAACCACTGGTGCCGACAGTTCAGTCCTTCGCACCCTTTTGTGAACCATAGACAACGACTCGCCGCTTCCCACACAAGTTGCGCTTCGGTCAGACACAACGGATAAGACCTGACAGCATGGTGCAGCTGATTTCACCATCGTCAACTGTGCCGACGATTGAACATCAAGTTTCTTCCCGTTTCTCTACTTTGAGTCTGCTTTTTGGGGCTCTTTCTGTGGGTATCCATGATCTTCCCGAGCTAGAATCTCGGTTCATCGACTCGGTCTCATGGTGTTCTCGGCATTCCGAAGACAACTAAAATCTAGATCGGTGGTTTTGGTTCTTTTCTGAGGGTTTGAGGCACAACGATCTCACTCCAATTCTAAATTGGGCTTCAACAAAGATCCAAAAAGACGCAGAATTTTTAAGCAAAGTGGATCGATGAGTCTGAATTCGTGTGAAGCGAGGATGATGTTTGCATCGTCGAGGAAAGTTTTGCAACCAGTTCTGCGAAGACTCCGCCGAGAAATTTCTAGATCTCCGAAACTCTATTGTTAGGGTTTTTGTAGAAACTGCGTGCATTGTCTACTTCTGTTTTTTATTTTCTATTATTATATGAATTTGATTTCCTGTTTCCGAATGTGAAAACGCACCAGATAAGAAACTTTGGGTTTTAAGAAGGAAAAAATGACTTTAGGAAACAATTGTTGTGATTTGTTGAATTGTGTTTGAAATGAACACAACGTAAATATAAAAAAAATAAAAGATCAAGGAAATATCTTCATGAAATACAAACTCTGAAGATTGCAAAACTAATGAAATAATAACTACATATAGAGTTCATGTAAACACAAAGGAATAATAAATTAAACAAAGTAACTGGTACCATTGATATTGAACATATATATATATATATATATGTAATTAAATCAAATAGCAATAATACATTTAATATAAGATAAATGTACTTTTTAAACACTTATATATACATACATACTAAAAAAGTTGATGTTTGTCCTTGAAATTTGATGATTTGTTGAAAAGTTGTTATATGAAGTGAAAATGTGCGATGTTTTAAAATAACCATATGTTACAAGGAGGAAGTGATGTGCCATGACTACAAAAAAGTTTCTTCCTAATAGACTAAGATATTGTGGTAGTCTCTCTTTAATATAATATTTATTGCATGCTGGAATCATAGAGTAAATTTGTATCTCATTGCTTGCAAAATAGTTTTTTTAAAGTTCTCTTTTTGATTCATTGTGTTCCTCCCTTAATGAGCTATTTATTGAATTGTCAATTTTGTCCAATAAATTTTATGTCACAATTTCTATTAAATAATAAAATAATAATTTTTAGTTTTTGTGTGTTCTATAATTAATTAGCATATATATGTATATATATATATATATATATACATATATGTACTAAAGTTGTAATTTTAAAAGTTGAAAGTTGTAGAAAATACTTCTTCATACTCAAATTTTGTATAAGTTGTTTGATTTAATTATTTGTAATTCAAGTAATGCTTTTATTCTGCAATATATATATATATATATATATATATATATATATATAATATAAAATTTGGCTGAAAAATAATCTAAAGTTATAAAATTGTACTGTTAAATTTAAGTTTCATCCATATTTAAAAATGAAATTGTTAATGAGTTATAATTGATTTTAATTTGAATATAAAATTTTATTCCAAAATTATCAATTTGTAATTCCATTGATAAGAACTTAATTGTATATATGTATATATATATATATATATATATATACACATACATACAATTTGTTTGTTTGTTTATTTGTTTGTTGTTGTTTTTTCACAATTTTTAAAAAATCAAAAAAAATAAATTGTTTTTAAATTCAAATTTGAACTTTTTTATTACTTTCATGAAATTATTTTTTAATTCAAGAAATTAACACAACAAGACATCAATGTTTATTATTAGTCTTCAAAATAATACATACATATATATATATATATACATCTACATATATATATATATATATATATATATATAATATTATTATTAAAATTTTGATATTGCTAAAATCAAAAGAAAAAATAGAATCAAATTAACAAAAGAAACTATATCAAAATAACTTGCATCTACATACTATCATACACCATAATTATTTTAAACTATCTGATGTGATTTTTAAAAAATAAACATAAATTTCGTATTAAATCTTTCTTGGTTTTGGCTACTTTTTTACATTTTTGAAAATTTAAGAAGTTGTAGGCATAAATAAATACTTAACTTTAACCACACATAGACTATTGTCAAAACTTTTAAAAAATAACCAACAGTCAATTTATTTATTATAAATGATAATATAATATAAATGAATAAATAAACATATGCACATTGGTTTCATAAGAATTGATTTCATCCAAATTTTCTTGAAGATATTTTTTTGACAATTTTTTGCTTGTATGTTTTGGCTTATCCAATTTTTTTGCAGATGTTACAACAATCTAAATATTTGTACACATCCTTCGAGTACCTTGATTTGGTGTTTTTTCTGGAAGGCCAATATAAATGTGACTTGCTCTTCTATTCACATTTCTCCATCTTAACATTCATTTTAGTTAAGAAACCATAGCTATAGAACAACACATGTTACACTTTTTAACAAACAGGCAAAAATGGTGGAAAAAAATAAAAAAATAAAAAAATAAAAAAATCACACTTCAAGCAGCCATTATCTTAAAGAAACTGCAACCTTCAGAGGTTTAGTATACTACGTGATCAAACCAGATTCAAAAGCTTCCACACTAAGTTTATACACAAATAGCTAAGAGCTTAGCTTACAGATACCATGGCCTCTTCCCTTTCTTCAACCTCAAAGAGCAGCTCCACATTGAGGGCAAAACTTGAAGTTCACAGACTCAATGGGAGCCAAGCAAGACCAGCATTGTCGCTGAGCAGCCCTTGGAGTCCACTCATCTGGTTGCACAGATCCAAGCTTTCTGCGTATCTCGATGCTGTTGAGCTTGCTGGATGGCATCAGAAATGGACATGAGGTGCATTTGATTGCTGGGTTGTCACCACTCCACTTCCACACTGGTAAGAAAAATAGGCGGAGCACGTTGTCATACTCAACCAAATCTGCAGGAGACGTGCAAATAGGGCATGTAGCTGCTCGGCTTTTGATCACATTTTTTACTTCTTGAGTCAAACCACCGAAGAGAAAGAAGAACACCATCTTCTTCTTCTTCTTCTTCTTCTGCTGCTGCTGCTGCTTCTTTCTCTCCCTCTACAAGCAGCACCTTACAATCAATAGATGTAAAACTTCAGTTAGAGCCACTGCTCGATAGCAAATTCATTCTGAATCATGCAAATCTACAATAATCGAGTTAATGTACATTGTGTAAAAAGAAGAGGAAACACATGCATGAGATGTTCCTCATTGGTACGTGTGTAAGATGTTGTCCAAGGATACTGATTCATACAAAAATGTATCTAATGAAAAACTTACCAATTGGAAAGCTACACAATATCTCTAAAACTGAAACTAGAAACACCTCTGGAGCATCCACATAAATTACACACAAAGTTGAACCCTGATGCACTGCCTCGCAGGTATTTATATCTGCATAGCGAAGAACATCGTATGAACACTAGTAAACAAGACTGGATTTGAACCATGATTTGATGCCACGCTGTAAAGCATGTGAATCCTGAACAAAGGGAATCGGATTGAGCAGAGGCCATACCAACGACAAGAATATTATTCTAAGGACTCACCATGCCGAGCAAGGTTTAGGGCTTGATAGCGAATTAAGACTTTGCAGCGTTAGTTAATTACTAATTCTCGAAGACCAACACAATCTAAAACCCACTCGGAACAGTTCACGTGAAACACTGTTGTGCAATAAGAAAACAAAGATATTCACGAATATTCATTCTTCACATGCAACAAGCGAAACCTTATATAGAACCAAAGGAAGGCATTCGGAGGATGTGAACCAATTGATTCCTACGCCAAAGATTCTAGCAACACGGCAACGACAGCTAAACTAGCACGGGAATCGTTCTTCCCACTCCTCAAACCAACCAAAATACTACACTCTTCCGGCCACTTTCAGTTCAGTCTCAATCCATGCCCTCTTATTTTTAAAAAAATCTACACTAACCCCATGAGCTAAGAAGAAATTCACGAAGAACCACGCGCTGAATGCAGAAAATAAACAACAAACCGCACCTCGTCTTCCAGAACGCGAATTACACAGAAATTCGACAGCAAGCGGCTTCAAAGCAAACAGAGTCTCACCCCTTGACGCTTAAAATCTCGCAATTCTCAAATAATGAAGCAGATTGCTCACGAAATCGCCGCCTTCACGAACATCAATCCACGGCACACTCTACCCTCCGAGTTGCACAGAAACGGGCAATCCAGAAACGACCCACAACTCCAATCTGCCCTGCAACTCACTGAGCGGTAAGTAGGTGTCGTAAAAATTTCACGCTTCGCACAGAGTGATCCTGGCGTCGCTTAATGTGCGATCGTGCGCTGCCATCGCCGCGGCGACGAGCCCACATCGTCACTCATGCAAACGCTGAACGGGAAGCAAACTACTATAGCCACAACAAACAAACGAAGCTCCGAAACGAAGCTCCGAAACTTTTCATGCCGTGCTTTAACTTTTATTTTCCTTTTTTGTTTTATTGGGCTTTAGGAAAAAGGTCCTTGTGGCATCACCAAAATTTTGTTGTGGATTCATGGAAACCTTTTGTTTGTGTGTGGGTGTACACAAAGTGATCAAAATATTATAAAAATAGACACAATTTTCAAACTTTAGAATGACTAACAATGCCAATAATGCATCAAATGACAATTATCAAGTACTTTTTTTTGCAAATGGTTGAAACAGTAAACAAATATTTAACATCAATCATTAGAAGTATTGAGAATTGTGATGTAATTGGATGGACGTTGATGTCATCAAAATTGCATAAATCATGTTAACTAAAACATATAAAAATATTTTTGATAATAATATAAATAATGTATATAGATGATATAATAATATTTTTATATCATCTATATGTTTTAATACAAAAATATTTTTATATCATCTATATACATGTCATCTATATACATGTACATTTAAACAACAATAACTGTTATTTAAGCTAATTTTTTAATTTTAACTATAACAGTTCATCTAATTTAAGCCAAATTTATAATGATGCTTTTTTTTAATATATATATATATATAAATATTCTAATAACAATAAGAAAAAAATATGCTTAAATGAATATAAAAATAACACATTGTTTTTATTTTATATTTGCATCCTTAAAAAAATGAATTCATTATATACTCATGTATATAAAACTAAATTTAATGCATTTGATGACTAAATAGATTTGTACAAAACTTATGTATAAGAGACAAAGGACCATGCAAATACTATACATATATCTATTATATAAAACAACTTGGATATAAGATAAAGAGACAAAGATGCATTTTGATTGTTTGGAGAACATAAAGTAATTGGGGCTTGAGTATGTCTAAGAACTAAGTTATTGGGACCCAATAATGGCTTCTTCACCCCCCATAGTGACCCAGGCCTTAGCTTCATATTTGTTTTGGTGATATAAGTTGTGTTTTTCAGAATGAGATCATCAATAGAGCATGCAAATGCAAGAAACCTAAGTTATGGAACCAAACCCAAGACAACCTCATGTAATAGTTCTCCTCCCATAATGCCTTTGTTGATGTCTATTGATAGACCTTAAGAGTGTTTGCATTGTATTTGCTGCTAAGACTTACAATGAACTTACATTGCTTGCATGTTCTTATGTTCTCTAGTTTATATGTTCTCTAAGTTCTCAATGTTTCTTTTTTTAGCCAATCAAAAGACTTCTTGATCTCATTGTCTTATATCATAGTTGTCTTATATAATTGTATAATTTAATTATTTTATAAAAATATTTTATAATAATTATTAATTTTTCAACTGAATGGTTTAAATAAATAAATACTTGTTGTTTTTATCTTATTTTTTTTATTTGTTTTATTTGTTTTATTTTGTTTTGTCAAAACATTGGTAAAAGGTTGCCTATAATAAATAAGTTGAACTTGTGAGCTCGAATAGAACTATACATGAAAAAATTATGCTACAAAGCATTGCACAACATTGACTTTTCAATGGATTACACTTGGTCATTACGAAATTGAGCAATCAAGTTGTAGAAGCAAGACTTTTATTTGGAGACTACAAGTAACAATTGGCTTTTCTTCTAAGGATCACATTATGCCCATCATCTTCAGAGATTCTATTCAAGTTGCAACAAAGTTAGTTTTCAATAAAAATAGGATTTGCATGACCATTTACAAATTCCAAAGACAATTGTTAAAAACATAGGAATAGATCTTAAAACCTCCATATTTGTACATGGACAATTGTATATTGCCCTTATATAATGCACTTCTCTAAATATGACCAATATCAAACAAAAATACCATTGTAAATGCAGTTTATTCTCAAGTTCTATTTACTTGGCAATTTAAGTTGTTGTAGTAAATAAAAATCTTGTTTACCAATTACAATGAAGAAACATAAATAGTTGTATTGATATGCATATACTCTTCTTTTTTTCTTTTTTTTCTTGGTCAACATTTCTTTAGCACTGGGCAATTTCTGATTTAGCAAGCACAAATTAAACTTTTACAGAATTTTCGTGGTCAAAGGTATGGGTTATTACTAGTCTATTTTTATACACACACATTTATAGGTACCCACATGCCCTGAGTGGACTAAATTAGGGTTTGCCCTGCATCGGCATCTTCGTGTGGAGCACGAAATAATGAGCAGACTCATAGCAACCAAATGGATGTGGATTCGGACCATCGCATTGTTACTTGTTGCTTTGTTGCATCGCTTCGCGATTTGCACCTCGCAGCACCCAAAATCTGTCGCTGCCTGGCGTTGCTGGAAATGCACATGGCCATGCTTCGTGATGGCTTTTGCTTGTGAACACGAGAGCTGACACCGATCTTGTCTGGGCTCCAGTCTCTGTTGCGGAGCCTGTCATCGGGATCTGAGATATGAGTAATTCATGATTGCCTCGGCAAGTCTGAAGCTCAAGTCGCTTGTAATCTGCTCACAAGCGAGGAGATAAATTTGGGTAGGGAACTCGTTGCTAATCACTTTCGAGAAGACACTGGGAACTGCTTTTTGTAAGCACAGATGCCATGATTTCAGGATTTGGTCCTCAATCAGTGTTCGGGTCTGTCAGGGATCGTTGCTCTCCTCCCAAATGCCGTTGCGGTCCGTTTAGCTGGAGCCGAATGTTGTCACTCTGAAGGTTATGTCTCATCTACGGTTGGAGCGCTCGCTGAAACGTGAGTTTCTTTGCTTTGCTGTATGTAATCGATGACTTGGTTTCGTTACTGCAGCGATCGCAAGTTATGAATGTGTGGGTTTCAGTTGTAGGGAAGTTTTCAGCTGTTCAGTGAACTGTAGTTGTCTTCTTGGTCTTCCATGCTGTGATTTCGGAATTTTTTTCGATGAGCTATAGGTTTGCATTTTTGGGTCTGTTTAGTTATGTGACAGATGGAATGTTATCAGTAGAGACTGCTACGCTCTCGAAGTTGTTCAGCTGGGAGGTTTAGAATTATGTCCATGCTGTTGATAGGCATGTGAATTGTTGGCTCTGCGTATGTTTTGGGTGGACAGGTGTGTTTCATTCGGGAGAAGTTTTTCTTGGCCAGTAAGCGACTGCAAGCTGTGTGCTTCACGAGGTTTGATAGCTGTGGTGGATATTTTGGGCCGAAGCGGGTTGAAAGAAGTGCAGTGCCCTGCTCTTGCTCTTTAGCGTGTAATGCAACAGGGTGACAATGTTTAGCCAATGGATCACTCAATAAACTATGATCGGAAGTTTAGAGCTTCGAGTGGCCGTGTGAAGGATGCAACAGAGTCATGGGCACAACAATCTGCAACTCGGAAACTTCTTCCACGGTTTGACACAATGCGGTCTTCTCTACGATACTCTTCCTCTCCGTCACGAGTTAGATACTCGTTCAAAAATGGAAAGGCTATGGATGTGATGAAGAAGGTCACTCAGCTGTCCTGCAGGTTGGCGACAATTGAGCGCAAATGGCTCGTACCCCTTGTGGCTAGCATCATAACTTCCATCATGCTCCTATTTCTGGTGGCTTTCAAAGTAGGATCAGGGGAGCATCACTCTTCGGGGGACTCTATCGTTCCAATTATACCAGCTAGGGATGGTACTCAATCTCAGAATGTTGTGGAATCCATTGCCCAGGATCCCACGGCGGAGTTGCCGCCTCCTCCAAGGCTCGCATATTTGATTTCGGGTACCAAAGGCGATGGCTTACGAATGCAGCGAACGCTGCAAGCGTTATATCACCCTTGGAATTACTATTTGCTTCACTTAGACCTTGATGCTCCCCCTAGAGAGCGTTTAGACCTGGCTCGATATGTGAAGAACGAGGTCGTGTTCAAAGAGGGCGGAAATGTATATGTCGTTGGGAAAACAAATCTCGTCACATATCGAGGGCCAACCATGATTGCTGCGACGTTGCATGGTGCTGCTATTTTGCTTCGGAAAGCCAAGGACTGGGACTGGTTCATCAATCTGAGTGCAGCCGATTATCCCCTTGTGACTCAAGATGGTAGTAATCATGTCAGTGTTTTCCTTTTTAATTTTTTTCTATTTTAAAGCTTCTTATGTGTTGTAGACGTGGAAAGCGGGATGTTTATTCTGTGCCAGAAAAGTGTGACATGCTGAACGCACCGATTTTCAGGAAAAGTTTCCCCGGGCCACGTTTTGCCTATTATGATCTTTGCACTTTGGTGCGTCTTGACAAGCAAAACCGACTGAAATGCCTGCGTCTTCGTTGCGCAGATCTCCTTCACGTCTTTTCTTACCTGCCTAGGGACCTAAATTTCATCCAACACACAAGTGACATTGGCTGGAAAGAGTAAGTGCATTGAAATATTGTTGTCTTTTGGAGGTCGTCATTAAGAATGGATAGATTAAGTAGAATTTTTTCATTCGCTGATAAGTAAGCTGTTATTTTGAATTTCGGCGATGAGGTTACTGTGCTGAAGTCAATGAAGGTGAATACCAACGATGAGAAAGTGTTGCATGCTCTTTCACTTCGTGAAGTAATAAGGTGGTTGTCAGCGCTAACAAGACAGATACTTTCTATTTTGGCCAGGTTTCAGAGAGCAAAACCTATTATTATTGATCCTGGATTATATCAGAACAAGAAAACTGACATTTTTTGGGCAACTCAGAGGCGGGCGTTGCCAACCGCATTTCGACTGTTCACAGGTTTAACTTTCCCTTGATTTTTACTTATGTTTTTCTCAAGCTTGCGTAGGAAGCAGTTACTTCTGATGTTGGATATTCTGACGTACACGAATTGCCTCCAGTTCAGATCAGAGGGTCTAATTTAAATACAGTTATACATGATTGACACCTTCGTGCGATAATTAGCATTGTGGGTCTGCTTGAAACAGGCTCAGCATGGTTTGCACTCACGCGTTCGTTCATGGAGTATTGCAACTTGGGTTGGGAGAATCTCCCACGAACTTTACTTATGTATTACACAAATTTTGTATCATCGCCTGAAGGTTATTTTCACACAGTTCTCTGCAACGCTCAGGAGTTCCGCAACACGACTGTGAATCATGACCTTCACTACATCAAGTGGGACCACCCGCCCAAACAACACCCCCTTTCTCTGACGCTGAAAGACATGGAGAATATGACCATAAGTGGAGCAGCTTTTGCCCGAAAGTTTGACAAGGACGATCCAGTACTGGACAGAATTGATGAGACGCTATTGAACAGGAAGAAGGGCCAATTCACCCCAGGTGGTTGGTGTATAGGTAGGCGACATGCAACAGACCCATGTGCTCTGCGAGGCAACCATAGCTTGTTACGGCCTGGTCCTGGTTCACGCAGGTTTGAAAATCTTGTTGTGCGGATGCTGTCTGCGGAGTCATTCCGGACGCAGCAGTGTGCGAGTGTATAAGTGATATTGATGTGGAGCAGGGCTACCCGAATTTGTAGCCCCGAATTTGGCTTCATTTACTGTAAGCATCTTTCTACTGCAGGTGTTGTGCTGTGACTGATCGAGCGGCCAACAGTTCCTCTTTTTTCTTATAGAAAGAGGTTTGCGTTGTGTGCACATAGTGCTCAATGCTTTTTGTTTCGTTGCATAGTATGCATTAGTTCCATCATATTTAAATACCAAGGCAGGAAAAGAAAATACCTACTGCAAGGGAAAGTATGCAGTTCAAATGTCACGCTTACGATGGCAGGAGATGGCAACTGTAGATTAGACCTTTCCAGAAACCGTTGAATCGAATGGAGCATGTAATAATCCCCATAATTCCAACCTTCTAAATTCACACAGTTCCTCCTGTGGAAGCAGTCTACATTACCCCAACTGTGTGAAGGTATTTTCCAGTGTATGTTGAAATTTGTGTCCCATTTACTTCACTTGTTTAGTGTGGACAACTTCACACAAGCATTTAACATCTATCACAAATATGTTATCCCCGAGCGAACATACATTGAGTTGCAAGCAGTAGTCGTAGCTACCCATTAACACCGAGCATCTCATTGTATATCACATTTTAATAGAGTATGTTCAAGCAAACACAATGCCAGCATTAAGGATTCAGAAATTTCTGGCAACATTTGGAAAACTCTGAAGTGTCTCACTTCCCGCTAAAACCTGTAAAGAACACATGAAAACGCTGCTCCTCAGAAATCAGAATCTTCGGAAATTTTTGATTCGGGACATTCAGAGCGAAACCCTAAAATCTCATTTCCTGACGGATGCAGAAACGATGGATAGGTTTCTTCATCCGTGGAGTCGATTCCGAATGAAAAATGCCATCGTCCTCCTCTTCTCGAAAAGTTTTGCTTGAGTTTGATGTTTTGCTGCGAATTGTAACTGTTGAGGCCTCGGTTTGAATTTTGGGTTTTTCTTGGTCGGCGTCTGGTTGCAGTGTATCAGAGTATGTGAAATAGCTGTGCTTATTAGCGATGTCGTCCGTGTACGTGTTGGAACCGCCCACCAAAGGGAAGGTGGTGCTGAACACCTCCGCGGGGCCGCTCGACATTGAGCTTTGGCCCAAGGAGGCTCCTAAAGCTGTGAGTTGATGCTTCATTTTCCATGATTTCTGTGCTATATGTTATGCACTTCTGAGGTAGTATTTGTAGTGATCATCAGCACGCGAGGGCTTCTGATTCTTGGTGGTTGTGAAAGAGAGAATAGGGTTTGCCAGTATAATTTTTGGGTTTTTTGTATCCGTTTCTGGATGGTGTAGTGCTTATAATTTTCTGCCGCGATTTTTCTGAGATCGTGTGCGGGTTTTCAGGTTCGCAATTTTGTTCAATTGTGCGTGGATGGCTACTACAATGGGACCGTATTTCATCGTCTTATCAAGACTTTCATGGTGCAAGGAGGTGATCCGACTGGAACTGGAACAGGCAAGTATTGAAGAAAAAAAAAACAGTGCGAGTTCTGTCGTGGACTCTTCCGTTGGACCGCCGTGCAGCAATCTATGGACTTATTTAGGGATTGGATGGTTCGTAGGCGTGCTTGTTGGTTTTGCTTCTAGAGTCCTTTACGTCTTGATTGCAACGTGCGTAGTTCTATTTCTTGCGATTTGTGCGCTCTATCCTCTTGTTCATGTCCGTATTCCTTGTCATCCATAGCAGCATTCAATTTCTTCCCACGTTTCAGGTTTGTCGGCAGTTCAAGCAGCATTGCAATGAGTTTCTTGACTGGTCCCTCTAATTAACTGATCACGCTTATGTGCATTTGCTAACATTTTTGTCGTTGTTATTTGGCAAATTTGAATAGGTGGAGACACCATCTATGGGGGGCCCTTCTCCGATGAGATCCATTCCCGTTTGCGGTTTAATCACAGAGGTGTCGTCGCTTGTGCAAATGCCGGAACTCCTCACAGCAATAACAGTCAATTCTTCATCACCTTTGACCGTTGCGATTGGCTTGACAAAAAGAACACTATATTTGGAAAGGTACGCTCCGAAGTTCACACACGGTTCAGGGTACGACGAGGTGCTTTAATGTAATTAATGTGGTCACGCCAGCTGAATTTGCCTTCTGCATACAGATTACCGGTGACACAGTTTACAATTTGATGAAGATTGGAGAATTGGAAACAGACAAAGATGATCGTCCCTTGCATCCACCCGTAATCAACTCTGTGGAGGTAACAGCCTTTATTGTGATCAGTTTTGCGGAATTTACGTAGGTATGTACATGCCGTGATTTTGTTTACAGAGGATCACGTTCCTTCGCAAGAGGATGGAAATATCTTTTTATTATCGCTTGCATGTGTTGTAGCTCTTTAGGGTCTGGAGAAGAGCTTGACAAAGTGTTGCTGCATGGATGGATGGTGTGCTTGACAGTGAACCGTCACATGGATGATGGTTCCAGGTGCTGTGGAATCCTTTTGATGACGTCGTGCCCAGGAAATTGGAGCCGAAAGTTGAGGCCGTGGACGAGAAACCTCAGTCTAAAACAGATAAAGCCTTGAAACCTAAGAAGTACGAGTTTTAAGTCAGCGTTTTAAGAACCCGCAAAGTGTGTTCTTCTCGCAATTTTCTTGCTGGTCTTGTCACTTTGAGGTTCTAGTTTTCCTCAATCTTAAGAACCATGTTACTTTTATCTGATACAATGTGGTGTGACAGGAAACTGAATCTCCTATCTTTCGGAGAGGAGGTAGAGGCTGAGGAGCAGGTATTGGAGACTGTTAAGGAGAAAAAAATCAAGAGCAGTCATGACGTGCTTCAAGATCCACGATTACTGAAAGCTGGGATGGACTTGGCTGATTTGGTTAGAATTTCTTCTCAATTGATGAGTAATTCAGGAGCTACTTCATGAGAGATAGGCCTGCTATTTTATTCCTACAATATTACGGATCAATGTGGCTATAAAAATCGCTTTTTGACTCAATAGCTCATGTGAAGCTTTTGTTTGTCGATGCTAGGATCCAGTTGAATCTCGCAGGGTGAAAGGCGTACAGGCTGCAGTCAGACAAGCTTTGTCTAAGAAGGACAAAATTGATGGTGATGATCATAAACCTAATGACAGTGAGGATGGCAGTAGTAGTGGAGATGAGGCTGACTTTGAGGCATCTATGCGTAAGAAAGTTCTGGAGAAGCGAGCGAAGTTCGCCGACTCTAAGGAGGCTGGTGTTGGTGATAAGAAAAAAGGTATGTCCTTTAGCTTAACCTAGAGTTTTCAATATTTACAGATGTACTATGGAAGTATTTCCAGTCAAACATCAATTCAATTTCCTTACTGCTCAAATTGTATCAAGGCTGTTACTCTTTCTGCCAGCTCACTCGTTTCTGTTTGCTATTGGTATTATCAGAAAGGCAAGGGGATAACAAAAAACAAGCTCCCATTCCTAGGTAAGACTTCTTTTAACTTGAGTGATTGATGTGAAAGGGTAAAATTCTTAGATCACGGCGTTGTATTTCAGTAAGCACGCTCTCTAGCAATGCTATCTTAAGTAGGAAAAAACTGCTTTCAATCAGGGAAACTCGACGAATAGTCGAAGATTCGGATGAAGAGGAAGAGGAAAGAAAGAGTAAATTGAGTCTGAAGCGAGGAATGGGTTCAGAGGCACGGACAGCTCTAGCTGCGAATTTAGATGCTGACGCACAGCTGTTAACCCCATTGGAGCAACAGCGTGCAAGATTCAAGCAAAAGAAGCGTCTTCAGGGGTCGCGGGAGGGTGCGGTATGTTTCTTCTCAAGATAATGAATTGATCAACATGGTGTTCTTTATTTGCTGGTATATACCTATAAGAGAAGTTCTAAGTTCATCAATGATTCTGTTGGACTTTAGCTTATGGAATCAGCTTGTTTTCTCACCTCATCAGTGTTTTGGGTCTGTTCGTGAAAATCTGATGGAATCAAATGCACTGACACTGTTTTGGCTTTTGGCTTGCGTTTTTTTATGCCTTATTAGACGTTAGCAAAACTGGCACAATTCAGGGCCAAACTTGGTCAGAAGATAGTGGGCACAAAAGAGAAGGATGCTGACGAAGAAGATTGGCTGTCTCATGAACTGAAATTTGAAAAAGATCCTACAAAGAAGGTACGTTCTTCACCTTGTAACCAACGAAGTCGCCTTCGCAATGAATTGTCTGTATGAACATTGCGCTCCACATTTTGTCCAAGAATATGATATGGCGAGGTGGGCTAGTTCTGTTGCTAAGTAAGGTGATCCATTGCAGGATGATATGGCAAAGAACGAGGATCCAAACCAATATATGGTGTACGATCCCCTTTTGGAGAAAGGAAAGGAAAAATTCAATAAAGAGCAGGCCAAATTCAAAAAACGAAATCGTGAATGGGCTGGAAAGTCTCTTACATAGTACAGAAGGTGTTTTACAGAGATTTCTGTACATTTTATTATTGAAGTCAATTTATATCTTTCTTTTGGATTGAAGCCATTGTATTACAGTCGATAATGAATTCGGATGTGGCATCGTGGAAACACAATCATGCAAAGATGAGACTGCCAACGGCTGTGTGCAAAATATGTTGTGGCAATTGTATGCATCAAGGTGAACAACAAGCTCATGGTTGGTTTCATCCGAGCATATCTTTTTTTTCACTTTAACTTGCAGTATCAAGAACATACGTCCATCTTATATTGTTATTTTCGAACTACATGTGGTCCAGTTCTGTAAGAAAACTGTGTTGAAAGATTATGCTCTCCACTGCTAATTACTGAACAATTCCAGAGATCGCGCTCTGAACCTGAAAGAGAGTCATCAGCTAGGAGCAAAATTAATGGAATCTTTGAATATTTCAATGACCAGACTCTCGTTCGAACCCTTAGTGTATTGGGTGGTATCAGGTACTTCGTGGATAAGGAATGATGATTCAGAGTCTTCAAGTGTAGGATGTGGGAGGCCTGCTGTTTGCTGCTGACACTCGTGAGCCCCACTCCAGAAGCTCCCTACTAGTATCATCCTTGTGAACTACACATTCTATGAAGCAGAGACAATCTCTCTGGGCGCCGAGGGCAGTCGAGATTGCTGGTATCAATTCATCTTCTGTTGTGACCTGCATTGCTAGTAAGAGAGAACTCGCATCAAAAAGATTTACGAAGATGCTGCTTGGTCTCTACTACTGCTGAAACCAGGAATGCTGTGAAACTCAAACCTTAAGCATTAAAACCTACCTTGGTGGTCCAGACTTTTCCTTCACCGTTGTGAATAGCGTCGACGAATCCTGTATAGCTCCAATTCTTGATCACGTTGTAAGGTCCATCGTGGATCTCAACTTCGATCGTATAACCTCCATTGTTGATAAGAAATATGATACTATTTTGCTCCTGGCGGATCATGGTAGAAATATCTTGACAAGTCACCTGCATTATTCTCCCTGTCAGTGAACTAAAATGTAAGACCATTACTTCTTTTAGTCCACTTAATTACTCGGCCTTCAAGCCACAACAAAGTCCTGTGAGGTTACATAAACGGATGTGAGAGGTGCACACAAACCTGGAAACTTCCATCACCAATGCAAGCAATGACACGTTTGATTCCTTTCAGAGCTTGGGAATAACCAAGCGTGGCTCCCACTGACCATCCTATTGAACCATATTGCATTTCGAACTCGTACCTGCAATTCCATTGAAAAACTGAGGAAGATCTAAAAAATTCCTTCAAATTAACAGTAGAAACCTTCATTGATAGCTCCTCACTCACCCACAGTCCTCTGGCAGCCTCAGTTTCTGGCAGTTAAACCAAGAATCTCCTGTCTCAGCTAGAACGGCTGTGTCGCCAGAGAGCATGCCCTGGACACAAATGGAATCCCATGGCATTTTTTGAGAAAGCAGAGAAAATATAAATGCAAGAAGGCGAGGACAATCCTCAATTTAGATAAAAATGCATATAGATATGAAAGTTTGAGGATTTAAAAAATCGAGATAGGTGCCAGCACCTGGATGTGCTTGAACAGAGAATTAACGCGGAGTGGCTCGCCTGGTACTGATGATGGAACCGTGCCTTCAGGAACGAAGATGCGCTTATAATTGTCATATGAATTCGAGTTTTTCACTATCTTCTCTGCCAACGCCTCCACGAAGTCCTTCATGAGAACACATCCAAACTCCGCTTTTCCACATACCTTAACTCGATCAGGATTCACGATTATCATGTGTTGCTTTTTCAGCAGCAACGAGTACCCTACTGAGCTGTAATCGTTAAAGATGGGTCCAACAAATATGTAAGCATCTGCAGACTCCACTATCTCAAGGCAGTAGGGTGTGCTGACTGCTCCCCAATACGTCCCCATAAAACGTGGGTGCTGCTCTGAAACTTGACCTTTGGCAGAAGGCATCACAGCATACGCATACCCACATGCTGTCACTAATTTGGCAAATGCTTCTTTTGCTTTCCCCAACCGCATCTTAGGCCCTCCAATGAGAACAGGTTTTGCGCATGTATTCAGAAACTTCACGGTACTCTCAACTGCAGCGTCCAGAGAGACTTTGTTGCTCACTCTACAAAGAACGTGATTACACAGGATCAAAAGATTAAAAGAACATAGAATCTTTTCAATTTGTCCACTAAAAACTCTCTTTCAGACATTTCAGACTGTGTGGCATTTTGACCCACTGGACATTAATATCCTTTTTCAACCAGAGATTTTATTGCTTAGACCTAGATCAATCATTCTGTTTAAAAATTTGATAGTGCACAATGCATCCTGCAAATTCAATGATTGCCTAAAGAAATCAGTTAAGAAGGTAACTGTTGTTTGATTGTGTAGGGAATCGTGCTGCCCGTGAATGAAGGGTGCACGGTATTTGTAATGTTACAGCTCACGCTAATGTAAACCGGCTTGTTCTTGTGAAGGGCTTTAGAAATTGCGCGATCCACTAACTCATGCGCGTCATCCAAATGGTTGATGACGGCCTGTTCAATCGATCAGGAGTCGCCAGTAACTGGCAGGTGAGTGTTAAATGATCATGATAGCATCGTCAAAGTATCACAAGGAATTGAGCTGTATATAAATCATGAATAAAACAACTGCTAAACGACACCGAAAAACACAAAGAGTATCCTACCCGAAAACCTACGAGGTTCCTATGAAAGACAGGAGCACATCCGAAGTTAATGGAAAACCATGGTACTCCTGACTAATGTCATGAATGCTGTTGGACAAGGGTTTTAGGAAGGAAAAAAAAAAAAATAGTACAAAAATACAGGAGACAAATGAGTGAGAATCACCTGGAAACAGGTCACGGTCTGGAAGCATCGAAACTCCTGACTGAAATCAGGAATACCAATGGTATGATGCAAGATTCGATTGGTACCGTAATCGTTGGTATTGGGACCCCCAACGATGCAAATGACAGGGAGATTTTCACTGTAAGCGCCAGCGATGCTGTTAATGACACTAAGGCCTCCAACAGTGAAAGTAACAACCACACAACCAACACCTTTCCAGCGAGCATAACCCTCGGCGGCGTAGCCTGCGTTGATCTCATTGCAGCATCCAATATTATTGATGCCTGGCTCGTTCAGCAGGTGATCCAGCAAGATGAGGTTGAAGTCGCCCGGCACAGTGAATATATCATTGCACCCAATTTCCACAAGCCTGCGTGCCAAATGGCGGGCCAAGCAGGCAGTGGATTCAATAACAGGGTAAATGGGAGGCGGGCTTGACATACCGTTAACGCTAATCGCAGAACGAATCAAGCTTCCAGGCACTCGAGTTCACCGCCGAAATCCTGTTGACGAAATATGATGAGTTTACGACATAAATTTCTGACTTAGACGATCGTCGAGATGACCTCTGCCCGCGGTAGGGATCGGCGGTGATGAAGCAACCAAGGGTCCAACGGAGAACATTCGAAATTTCCGACCTATGATCTCTGCAGTGGTTGTTGCCATCCCCCACCAAACATTCTTCTGTTCTGCTGATGCATTTGCGGGCATGGGGGGCCGACGATCTTTATGCTACTCAACATGGATTCCTGTTGATGACAATGGATTAACTTGAGAGACCATCAGTTTGCATGAGTCTATTACTCCTCAAACAGTAGAATGTGTTTCGGAATTTTGGATCAAGAGATTATCAGCACGGTATGCTCGAAAACAAGTCCTTCTGTCTACTGAAATAATACTTTTCGAGGTTGAAGTGATGTTAAATTGGATGGGTAGCAAACCCATATCTCCTCCCAATCGATCAAGTCACAATGAGAGATTAGAGAATTTGTACTTACGTCACAAAACAGAACTAGGATTATAGCTACAAATCTTACAGATCATATGACCATGAGTCTTCATCCAGTGTGTCAGACCATGAACATGTTTTGCCGTTTCAAACCTTGGGTACAACCTTTCAGAAATTTGGTCACTCCTGAAATAACCGATACACACATAGTTGTGCACAAGCAAACTCCTAAATAGTAGGTGACTGCGGTAGTTTGACAAGTCACAACGTAAGCCAAAAAGCAACCACTAAATGATAGCACAAGTATACCAATACTCTACCGTGCCCTAAACCAGAGAAAGATTCTCATGTAAGGAGAGCCCCTCCATCACACTCCACTCCACAATGTCGTGTGGCAATCGTCTCAACCTCCCCCTCAATGTCGCGTGTGTGCAAATATTTGAAAGCAGGGATAGCGCAGAGGGCTGTACACAATTGGAATGCAGTAAACCAAATTACAGTTGCTGACGCATTCCAGTTTCTGAACCCAACCTTCGAAGTAGCACTAATGCTTTCGCTTAACCTAGAATCAAGCAACAAAGAGTAGTCGGAGTACATTACAATCTGTCAACATACTTACGCATCTATAATTGTTACCGAAGAGCCCAGAAGCCACACAGATCATGAACAACCCACAAAAACCACCATTCTCATTCTCGGACCTCAATCTCAAATTGACAAAGGCTCTTGTACTTCCTGATTCTCCGTTCGTTGTTAAAGCACTGATCATACACACAAGCTTCACGCATATCTCTTTATCAGAAACCATGCCACTTATACGCCCTCCCGGTTAGACATATTATTCCGCTAGGTGAATTTTAGGCCATGCATGGGCCCTATTTCAATAAGTAAGATGTGGAACAGCATCAAAGAAATTTGAACTTATCTGTCTCAAATGAGTTACGCCAAGACGTCCGCCTGGAGGAAGCAAAAGATTTCCGGCATGTGGATGAACATGGCAGATCTACAAGATTTATGATACTAAAGCTGAGACGAATTTGTGTTTCTACGAGATACCACAGTGGATTTAAATGTGAACTAGCCATCAACTGATCACCAAGACTAAAATCAAACTCCAACAGAATGGTTACTTCGATCATACCAACATTTCGCAGATCAACAGCCATCGATCTCTCTAGACTTAAGTGTTGAACGCGCATTGACATGGGGGCTTAGCAATATGCCAACCAGAATACTTTAGACTAACAAGCTATTTTCCTTGAGCATTGCTTCCAGCCTTGCTATCGCGGTTGGACGAGTCAACTTATACAATGGCAGCAGGAGCTGCAGTAATGGCGGACGAATAGTGAAATCCCACTATCCAGAGTAACTAAAAAAAAACCATGCAGATGAAGAAACTTACAGCTCTGGAGGTCAGAGTGAAAGCAGATGAAGAAACTTACAGCCTGGTTCGGTTCTCCAGACGAATTCGATGGCCTCTTCTCACGGTATTTCCAGTACCAGTGGAATATCTAGAGAGCATGTGAGGCTTCATCATTGGAGCAAATACTGTGCAGTTCAGTGTGGCTTCCATCCAGGGGTTTTCTTAACATGGGCTGGTTGTGAAATTGAGGTAAAAGGTTTCAAGGGGGCACAGCATCAGGCTTTTTGTCGCAGATCTGAGACTGAAAAGTTTGTATTAGGCTAGGTTAAAGTGTCCTATATGTGTATATATATATATATTATATATATATATATATATACTGATCATAAGGAGTATGTATTAGGCTAAGGTTTCTATCCTGATTTTATTGCACTAAGTATGCCGATCACACTCAACCTTTCTCCCAATTTTTGGAATAAAAGATCACCCTAGTAGCTTTGTGAATATGTTTGCTGTTTGTTCCAAGTTTGGTATGTATCTAAGACATATTTCTCTTGATTTAATCTTTTTCCCAGTGAAATGATAAGTTTGGTATGTATCTAAGACATATTTCTCTTGATTTAATCTTTTTCCCAGTGAAATGATAATGTGCTGCTATGTGCCTAGTTCTAGGATTAACTCTTGGATTTGTGGCTATGCTAATGCTTCTTGCATTATTACAATGTATAATTGTTGGATTTGGTATATGTGTTTGTAAGTCATTGACAAGCATTATTATCCAAGTTGCTTCTCTAGATGCTTCTATTAATGCTCTATTCTTTGCTTCTAGGGAAGAAAGTGTTATTGTTGGTTGTTTTTTTTATGACCATGATATATGAGTATTTCCAATACTAAATACAAAATTTGTCATAGAATGTGCATGTTCTATATTTCCAATCCAATCAAAATCCATATATCTAAAAATATTAGCATGCTTGTTTTTTTAATAAAATATTCTATAATCTTGAGTACTTTTGATATAGCATAATACTCTTATAGTTACAAGTAGGTATAATTGTTGAGATTTTGCCATAAAACAATTAAAAATTCTTATGAAAAATTGAATATTAGGATAAGTGTAGGTATTAAGGATATGAACCTCAAAAAATTAAAAGATCAATATATTCTTGTGTTACTTGAAAAAATTGAAGAATCACTCAAAGATGGTATAATATTAAACTAGAATAGCTATTGCCAAAGACAAGAAGACTAGAAAGTCTTGAAACAAAATTAAGACTAGAAAGATATTGATAAGAGTAAAAAAGGCTTCACTCTTGCTTCTATATATATTATCTAACTAGGAGATACATGGTGATATTTTATAGGACCTTTAATATATGTTGATTTTGCAAAACACATGTTTTAATTTGTAAGACAAGTTTTCTATATGCATGCCACATCATCAGCTTGTATCATAAGCTTCGAACATATACAATGTGTGGCTAGTTTTTTGGCCAAGTTTCTAACCTATCAATCAACTACAAACATGTATAAAGTCAAACATGCATCTATGAAGCTTCTAGAGAGCTATACCATAAAATAATACCAAATCCATCTACATTTACCTTCTATCTAATACTTCTTATCTAGATATATATATATATATATATATATATGTGATATTATCCTCCTTTTTAGGGACAAGTTCCACAAGGAGTAGTCATCATTTTTTATGGATCTTGCTATTCTTCATCTTGATTTTGAAGGATGTCATAAAAAAAAAAAATCAAACTTCTTTGCTATATTTATAAGATTATTGGTACACTTCTATGTACGTTCTCTAATATCATATCTATACCACAAAATAAAATATTTTAATCTATTTTAGTATTGTATTGAATCTATTTTTTTTATTTCAAACTCTTAATTATTATCGACTTCTATAGGAGAAGGTGGCATTTATCTTCTTTCAAAGATATTCACTATCTTATATGGTTCAAAAAGAAATACATAGAATATGGGATGGATCTTCATAGATTCTAGTAGATGTAATCAATAAGCAAATAAATTAACTTATTCACAAATAAGAAATGATCTAAGACTATGGTAATCCAGCTTATCACAAAAGCAGTTAGTTTTGATATTGTAATGAAGTAATTATACTTAATTGCCAACATGACATTGAGGTTGCTTCTTGTCATAAGCATTTGTATTGCTCTTTTGTTATTTGTAAGTTTTTTTAATTAAGCATTTGTTGTTATATAGAGATTAAATAAAGAATTTGTAAAATCTTTTATCATAGGATTATTAAATTTTAAAAAGTCAAAAATATCTAGTTGTGAATAATTACCATAATTAATAAAGAAAGATTTTTTTTGCATAAAAAAATATATCATATTATTATAAGTAAATTTTACTAATAGCAAATAATTTGTTCAATCATCTTGTCGATAGTTAATGGTACATCTTAAATATTGCTCCAAAACTTAATTTATGCACTCTATTTGTCTATCACTTTGAAGATAAAAAGTCAAATATAGCTTTATGTCTACCTTTAAAATCTTAAAAAAGATTCTTTAAAATTTCCATACAAATTGAGTCTCATTATTTGATATAATATTCTTGAACAATCCATGATAGCGATAAATGATGTCAAGAAAAAACTTAGCTATTTCTTTATTTATCTTAGATTTTGTATATGGTATAAAATATGCCATCTTGATAAAATAATCTACTATTACAAATATAGAATCATACAAACCTATCAAGCACATGAATCTTGAAAAAAAAAATCCTCAATACACTCTTGTGTCTTTCAAAAAGTCTAGAAAATCACTCAAAGATAATATAGTATTAAATTAGAATGACTATTGTCAAAGACAAAAAAACTAGAAAGTTTTGAAAGAAGACTAAGAACAGGAAAAATATTGAGAAGAGTGAAGAAGACTTCACTCTTGTCTCCATATATACTCTTAACTAGGATTTATATGACAATATCCTATAGAAACTCTAAAATGTGTAGACCTTATAATATACATATCTTAACTTGCAAGACAAGTTTTTTGTATGTGTACCATATAATTAGCTTATTTTGCAAGTTATCAATACATAATTAACTTGTTTTATAAGCTATCAACACGTGATTAATTTTTTTACCAAGTTTCTAACTTATCAAATAATTACAAATACATATAAAGTCAAAGCAACATTTATAAAGCTTCTAGAAAGCATCTCTAAAAAATACTATGAAATAAATTTATTTTTATCTACTTCTATTTAATCATACAGGTAAATATTAGAATAAATATGTATATTTGTGACTTTATCCTCTCCTCTAGGAAGAAGTTCTATAAAGAGCAAGCATCATGTATTGAAAAAATTTAAAATATAACAAATTATATTTGCTACATACTTTGATTATTTTTCTCTTGTAAGATGGTTGATAATTCTTCTCAGTCATCAATAGTGTTTCATATTAGGGTAAAAAGGCCACCCTATTATTTGATTGTTGTTAAAGCTTTTATAACTCTTTTCAAATAAAACATTTAAAATACCATTAAGAGTAATTACTACCTCTAATAAAATCACTAAATATTAAAAATCTCTTCTAAGATCATGATACCAAAGATATTGTATCTTGCCATTTATTTAAAAAAAAATATGTCATTCTTAAGGATCTTCATCTTGATTATGTTGTCTAAAAGATTTTGACAATTATAATATCTCATCCGATTAATTAGCAAGTGATAGTTTTTAAGTTGAATCTGCTAGTTGTTGATTCTCCATCTCTTTAATATCATAAATATATAAAAATTACAAACAAAAGTAAAAGGTAGAATACTATCTTTCTTGGATCTTGTTTCTTTTATAGCAAAGATTTGCTATTCTTCATCTTGATTTTGATAGATGTCATTAATAAAAAGCCTCAATCTTCTTTTTTGTATTTATAAGATTTTTTATTGGCTTCCATGAACATTCACTAATATCATATCCCACCAATAAATAAGATATTTTAATCTATTTTGGTGCCACCCTAAATCTAAGATTTCTTCAACCTTTAATTCTTAATTATTATCCACTTCTATAGGAAGAAGTCGCATTTGTCTTCTCAAGATATTCATTGTCTTATATAGCTCAAAAAGAAATACATGGAATATAAGATGGATCTTTATAGTCTTTAATAGATATAATCAATAAGTAATAAGATTGAATTATTTGTAAATATAAAAAAATCTAAGTCTACAATAGTCCAACTTGTCACAAAGACAAATAGTCTTGATATTACAACAAAGTAATCATATCTTATCATCCACATTGAATTATAATTGTTCTTTGTAATAGACATCTACATTGATCTTTTGTCATTTTCAAGGATCCTTTAATAACACCTTCATTGATGCATGTTGCTTTAACAAAGAATTTATAAAATATTTTGCCATAGGATTATGAACTTTGAAAAAGTCAAATGTATCAAATCATAGATGATGACCATAATTAGCAAAAAAAAAGTGTTTATTGAGTAGAAGAATGTACTAAATTATTATACGCAAACTTTGCCAATGGTAAAAGAATTGTTCAATCTTGATGATATTTAATGGTATATTTCAAATATTACTCCAAAATTTAATTCATCCATTTTGTTTGTTCATCAGTTTAAAAATGAAAAGCCAAAGAGTGCTTTATATTGATCTTTAAAATCTTCAAGAAAGTTCTTTAGAATCTTAATATAAATTGAGTTCTTTTATCTCATATAATATTCTTATGTAATCCATGATAGCAATATATATTGTTAAGAAAAAGCTTAGCTATTTTTTTACATATGATAGATTTTATATATGATACAAAATGTGCCATCTTAGTAAAACTATCTACTATTATAAATATAAAACCATACAAACTTGAGATTATAAGATATGTGATAAAATCCATAGAAACA